AACGAAACACGTCTTTTACTATCACGTTTCGAACGAATTTCTCCTTCTTCCTTTTTTCTTTTTTTTTTTTTTTTTTTTCAACTTCATTGAGAATTTTTCCCATCACTCGTCCCTTCTTCCATCCAATTCCCCTTCGATGCACCACTTTCGGTTCTCGTTTTGCGATTTTCCCTCTCTCTCCTTCTCTTCTTCTTCTTCTTCTTCTTTTTTTTTATTTTGGTTTCGTTATTTTTGTTTTTTTTTCTTTTTTCCTTTTGTTGTGTTTTTTTTTTTTTTTCCTCGTTACTTGCTCGTTACTTGTTTCATCGTCCCGGACCACTTTGAACGGACTTGAAGCACGGCTACAGCTCGTACACCCGATCTCGATCGTCACATCACGCGTTTCTATAAGAATAAGAACCGAACGAAACACGCGATCGGGTCTGTCTGCGGTTTCGAGACCGTGTCCCGTGGTCGTCGAACACATCGATGGTTAGGTCCGGTGGTATAAGCTAAAACTTTGCCAAGTGTCTAGGTCATCAGCTCTGGCGTGTCGTCCGCGTAAACATCGTCCGGAGGTTCCACCCTCACGGACAACTGCGTGTAACCCTTGTTTTTCCTTTCCCTTCTTCCCGATATCGCCTGAAAATTCACCAAAAACCCCCGATCAATCCCAAAACTATCGAAAAACTTTTCTCCTCTTCGATCTCGTCGCGCTCCGCACGAATTTTTTTCAGTTGAAACGATCTCGAAACGCACAAATCGAAAGAAAATTTGTCGAGTAATTTAATTTGGTATTTGAAAACAATATTCTTCGAACCGAAGTCGGAAATGTTCGATCTAATAAAAAAAATCTATATCTTTATAAGATTGTAGTGGAATCTGTTCGCGAAGCGACGTTTTAAAAGGATCAGAGGTGATCAAGTTGGAGCGCAAGGAGAGTTAACGTACGTATTTTGACAGAGAACAAGTTTTGTCAAAGTTGAGAAGGAGGTTACCTGAAGTACGATGAATATAGTGGCGAACAAGGCAACAGATATGAGGCAGATGGCGACGGCGATGGTCGTGGTCGCCGTAATCGCCAGGGAGACCGAGTCGTTCCTATCGGTCGTTGCCCCTTCGAAGCTGGTGTACACTTCGGAGATGGCGGTGTCGGCCGAGGCGAACTCGGTCCCCGGCACCCTCCTCTTGCCTGCCGGCGAGCTGTTCCTGCACCCACCTGTTCGACAATTCACATCAACATCAATTTATCTCAATTCGATTCGATTTTTCGCAAAGTGGTTGCAACGATTGTTTTTTGAAATGTCAGACAAAAAAAATAAAATATAAATCTTGAGAAGGTTTTTCAGCAATCAATCTCACCGGTTTCCGGGTCGCAGAGGCAACACTCCTCGGCCTGGCCACCCTTCTCGTTACCCGTGCAACAAGGCACGCACTGGTTGTTCAATTTGTCCAGGTGCAGGGGGGGCGAGCAAGCGGCGCAACTGAATTTCCCGGAACCGGTGCACCTTCGACAATCCGGGTGGCAATTCTTGCACAACCGCGTCAGAGAATCGTAGTACTGCGCACCGAGGCATTCCTTGCACAAACCGTCCTCGAGCATCGAGTGGGGTGGGCAAGACGTGCATTCCTTCGGCCCCTCGCCTGGGAAATAAATTAACACCGTGACGCGTGTCTCAAATGATAGATAAAATTTAGTTTTATATATATCTCTTTCTCCTCCTTATAAATTTGAAAGGCGAGTGATAGTGAAAGATGTAGGAATAAATATATATATCTGTCTCTCTTCCTTTGCATTTTCGAATAGATATATATATATATATATATAGATTGAAATTTGAAAGACGAGTGATAGTGAAAGATGTAGGAATAAATATTTAGTTATATATATTTTCTCTTTAGCATTTTCGAATAGATTGAAATTTGAAAGACGAGTGATAGTAAAGGATAGGAATAAATATATTTATATATATCTGTCTCTCTTCTTTTGCATTTTCGAATAGATATACACGTAGATTGAAATTTGAAAGGCGAGTGAAAGATATATATCTGTCTCTTCTCCTTAGCATTTTTGAATAGATATATAGACTGCATATATATATGAAGCATTCGAATACTTTTCTAACCTATAAACGATGCGTGTTTATAATATATATATAATATATAATATAAGTACTACGACTATTGCAAAAATCGATGAATCGTTTTCAAATTTTGCCGACACTCCTCTCATTATCTTAAACAAGTTTAACATACACATTTCGTTCATCGAAGATTGTAAAGATGTAAGCGTTCGAATGATGCTTTCGTTACCCACTGTAGATCAAAGTTTGGAAGATGAGTAGTGAAAGATGTATGAATAAATGGGTGGAATCTGGACAGGGATTCTCCGGGGATAACTACTCGACTACTCGTTCAATATTTACTCGATCGGTCTCTCATATCCGTCCTCTCATTCCGCATACCTTTGCACGTGCGACAGTAATGGTGACACTTCTGGCAGCCGAAGTTGGACTTGAAGAATCCTTCGGGACACTCCGGGTGACATTCGCCCGCCGCCAATTGCCAACCACCGGGACAAGTCACGCATTGATCCCTTCTGGGCCCGGAACACGTTTTGCACGCCAGATAACATTTCGCGCACTGACCTCGATCGCTGTAATACCTGCGGTCGGAACGAGTCAAAAAATTCTTCGTTACCGATGATGCTTGCCTTAATTTCAACAGAAACTTAAAACTCGAATTCTCTCGTCGAAGTCTCAAAAACAAACTCACAAATTTCATTTTTATTTAAAATTCTTATTTATCTTAATTTAACAATGAAAATTTAAAATTCAAATTCTCCATCGATTCATTTCCAGATCGAAGAGCTTTGCAAAAATGTGTATGAACTCACCCCTGCGCGCAAGAGGACCTGCACTCTCCGCTCTGCAATTGCAATCCGTCTTGGCACGCGGTGCAGTTGAGTCGAGAGACGCAGGTTTTGCAGGTGTGCAAACAAGGGACGCAGACGGGTCCGGAAGGTTGGGCCATCGAGTAATAACCGTCGTCGCACTGGTACACGCACCGTTTCGCTTGGAGGAGTAAAGGTTTTTGACAGGAGATGCAATTGTTCTCTCCGGGGCCGGCGCACGTTTTGCAGGACGCGTGGCACTGTTTGCAGTGGCCGTTCTCGTAGAACTCGGTCGTTTTGCAACGATCGCGGTGTTCGGGGGCGCAGAGGCCTTCCTCGTTCAAACTCCACCCGTCGTCGCAGCTCCTGCACGTCGACATGTCGCAGGTGGCGCATCCTGGTGGGCAGGGCACGCATTCACGCCGCTTCTTGTCCGCGCCGTATCCGATCGGACAAGACGCTCGACAGGCGCCTGAAATTTGTTGGATCGATTCGTTGAATCGAAGCTTGGATTTAGCTCGGATCGAAGTCTCGACTTTTCCGGATTAACCTCGTGCATAAAGCTTAAAAACTTGAGGCTCGAGATCCTTAAGAGGGTTTCTTAAGATCGAAGTAAGTAAATTAATAATTAAGCTTTGTACAACGGTGTTCAAAGATTTGAATTTTATACAGCGCTACACCATCGAATGCTCGAATCTTAATAATTTGGAATGAATATGTCGATGTGTCTTGTCACATCGTTTTAACGTTAGAACTAACCAATTATTAAGATAAATTGACTGAACTCATATATTATTGAATACGTAAAATATCCAATGTAAGACTCGTTGAAATAATTGGTCCTATAAATGAAATTTTCCAATTTCAATAATATATTTATGCTTTGCATTTAATCTAATAAACGTATAATCGAATTTGTCGCGGAGAATTAATTTTAAATTCACGAAATGAAAAGATCGATTCTTCGTCTCTCGATGAATATTCCATTCGACATGGAGTAACCAATGAAACACGGGAATCGACTTAAAAATCGTGAATTCGTACGAAACACGGAATATCCCTATGGTACTAGATACCGGAAAAATAGGTTTCTAGGTTATCGGTCGGCGCTTCGGTGTCATTTTTAAGGATTAACGTCTACGTGTGTATATATATATATATATATATATACACATACACGTACCGTTGAGAGAAAACAATCCGGGTCGACAGGAGATGCATTGGTTCTCGGCGGTTCCGTTGCAAGTCTCGCACGTGGAATGACAAGGCGCGCAATTGTAATCTTGTGTCTCGTATGTGTACAGGGGACAGGCCGCGTAACACTTGTTTTCATACATGACCAGGTGATGCTCGCAACTGGTGCATTTGTCCGGTCTGTCCTGGCAACTTGCGCAGTTCGCCTCGCATGGTACGCACGTACTGTTCTCCGTGTCTGCAAATCATCGTTCGTTCGAATATAACAAAATGGGAATATTCTCTTTAATTTTTTTCTTTCAAAAAGAAAAAAAAAGAGTTTCGAAACTTATTCCTCCAATTAAATTGCTTCATTTCCTTTTAATTCGTTTTATTTTATGAAATACACTCACTTTCGTAATATCCTTCCGGGCATTGCTGCAGGCACACCGCGAGATCGGTAACCCTTAGATGAGCAGGTGCGCAGGAGAGACAAGAGTCCTGGCCAGCACCGGCACAGATCTCACAGGATTCGTGACAAGGCCAACAGACTCCACCCTGATTTGGGAAGCTTCTCGGCGGACATTGACTCACGCAAGTGCTGTAATTGCAATATCTCGAAACTAACGTTCCCTCGGATATCTTTCAAATTAAATTCAAATCAAAATATATTTTAACGATTAATTGCATCGTGAGTAACAAAATGTAAATTTTCATTTTATTTCTTATTAGAAAGAGTTAATAATAGGTTTATTAGATTTTTCTTCAGATCTAAATAAATTCAATTATGTAAAAAATATTTACACTGACTTTGAATTGTAACTATTCATGCGCAGTGATATCGTTACAGAATACAGCTGTACAACATCAACGTGCAACCGCACGTTGTATTTATGATCGAGAAAGGAGGTCAGGCGATTCGTTAAATCCAAGTTGAAACGTTTAAATCATTATCGCAATTCTTTGTGAATTTTCTCAGAAAATTATTCATTTATTGCCGTGTCAACGAGAGAAAAATTAAAAATCTTCAAGATACGTTTTTTTTTTTTGTCTCTGAATGAAATTTTAAAAGTCGAGTAAAATTTTAATACTTTGTTACTTCTTCTAGATCTTTGCAATTAACAAAAAATTCACACATTTTTACCACTATCCTTTTTCTTTATGAAACTATAAAAGATGTTTTCACTTCTAATTGGAACTGCGCCTTCCTTTGTCCAAAGTTTTTCACCGGGACAAATTTAAAAAAGATACGTGCAAAGCATGGCCGGACAAATGTCAAGCGTTGTGGTTTAAAAAAAAAAAAAAAATTCTTCTTCTTCTTGCACAACAACGTAATATCATACATTGCATAGAATGTGCCACGTACGAAAATACCTTCTATGCGAATATGACAAAATATGATATAAGAAACAACTTTTAAATCAACGAATTCGAATCGCGTATCTAAACGAATTACTCGACAAATTAACATTTAACCCTTTGCTAACATATATCTACATTCTCAATGTTACAATGTTTTCTTTTACTTTCTGTTTAAATGTGTATAAAATAAAATAAACAATACGTTATTTAATACATTGCCAGAAAAAAAATGTTTTCATTTCTCAAAGAAGCAACAGACAGATAAGAAAACAATTCGACTATTTCTTACTTGTCCAACCGATAGTTCTTGCAGGCGATGCACTGGGTAGGCCCTTTCCCGTAGCAACCCTGAGGGTCGCATTGGGGGTCACAGTCGTGAAGTATCTTTCTCGTTGTGTCGAGCGAGTCGTCGCCGACTTGGGAGGAGGACGAGGGCGAGTCGAAGGAGGGGGACGTGTCGCCGGGCAGCCGGTTGGTGAGGATCGGTGCCGAGGAGCCGTCCAGCGTGGCCACCGACGCCTGCACGTTGGACGCGGCCCCTACGTACGGGTATCCTTGGTAACCCTGAAAGGTAGACGAAGGAAAGAAGTCGACGTCGCCGCGATGACCCAACGCCAGCTGATCATCGTCAACAGGGTATGGATAATGCACGGAGGCGTACGAAGAATGTACCGGGTTAAATTGACGGGTTCTAATCCTGATCGGGTTGGTCGCTGTCCCGTAGAAGATCAACTGCCACTTCTTTAGGATCCCTGTAACAGCGAACGGTGATGCTTTTTCTTTTTCTTTTTCTAGGGGAATCTAGGGGAAACGTAGTAGGGTTCCAGATGTGTCCCCCTCTGTCTGGATGTGAAAATTTGGCAAGAACAGGTGAGAACAACGGTAAGTGATCTCGAGTTTCCTTTCAGCAAAGAGTTATTTATAATTATTAGCACGAAATCTCTAGCAAATAGTTATATATACATTTAACTTTTAATTGGCGCCGTCAACGATACTTGATTCCTGGAAAAATAAGGGAGGGTAAATTAAATAAATTGGAAGAATTCTTTCCGTCTTATTCCCAAACAATTCCCTGTTAAATTAAATTGTCGTATTAATCTTGAAGAATGCTAGGGCTACTTGCCTGGGGAGTTAACGTGACGATTTCCTGCGTTATTGACCTGCAACGTCCATCGGCCATCCGCTTTCTCGCCCCAGAAGTGGACGCTGAGGAAGGGCCAGTCGTCGAAACTCGAGCTGAGAACGTCTCGTGGCCTCTCGAACAACAAGGTCGACGTGGTACCCATCGGGGAGGTGAGCAATAGCCTTAAATTTCCACGTGGGAAGAACCTTAAGGATACCTTTATTGGACAATGATTATTTCATTTCATTGAAAACTGAATTGTAAATCTCTTAATCTCTAATTAATTGTTAATCTTCGTTTCAGCTCGATTTCTTTAAAAAAGACTGAATGCGTTCAACATTTCGAGTGAGCAGAATATTTCAAAAGACGAGCTGTTAAAATGTATATACGTAAAAATTCTTCCTTTACGTGATGCATTACGTGTCAGATGTATCGAGTAAACAATTTAAACGAAGAAAAAAAAAAGGAAAGGGAAGTGCAAAACGATCGTTGTGTATGCAAAATCTGAGGAAAGAATATACGGACGGGGAAAGCGGAATAACGCTTGAAATAAAATTTATTTTCACTTTATATATATATAGTGTATGCGAAATATGTATATTCTAGCTTATGATTCATAAAACGGTTTTAAAAAAGAATTTACATTTTAATGATACCGTGAATTTCATTCCAACCGAATTTGCAAATGTACGTTTGTAATACGCGAATTTAAAGGATTGTACCATTAAAAATATATTTAACCGAGGCTGAAAGGTAATACTGCACAGAGAATAATGTATGGGGGAAGGAAGGAACTTCCATTTTCGATCGAATCGCGTGCTTATAAATATTGCTTTCAAAATTATTTTCCCTCCCTCCTTCCCCCTCCTTCCCCGTGTGCGAAATTGTTGCCGCTGTTAAAATTGGTGTGCACCAACGAGAAAAAGTCGTAGATTTTAAAAAATACACGAATCGAAATGGTTTTTCACTCGGACGAATTACACACCGTAATGGAAAAATACGTGAATTACGAGAGGAGGAGAAATTTTTTTTATATTTTTTTCCCCCAAAACGTTTATCATTTATCATTAAAAGTAGCGAGATACGTGAAAAGAATCGATGCTTAAAATTTAAAAAAAATCATCACGAATATAACCAATTTGTTTAATTTTGTTTACATCGATGATACCATTTTCAGAATTGTTCGAGTTATTCCAAGTTATTCAAAACCAAGGAGCAACTTTGCCAACTCTCCATTCTTTGGAATACGAGAAGAGGAAGACTAGAAATCTATCGTTGGAGGATCGATAGCAAGCGGTAACAAGCGAGCCTCAAGAGTTATAAACCCGTCCACTCTTAAAGGTACATTTCGAGAAAAATGTTGTGTTTGCTCCCCACTACGATCTTATTACCATGCTCTCAATCCTTCTCACTGACAATACAGCGATACACCATGATTGGATTCGCCTCTCACCTTGCACTGCACATGCTCGAGGAAGCGGACCTCGTTCACGGATCCGGCGCAACCGCTGACGTCCATGTACACGCTGAGCGTGTAACCGTAGGTCGGGTCGATGCGCCTCTCCTCGTTGATCTCATCGGACTTGCAGATGTGTTGGGGAGGCACGTTGGTCCACTGCTCGGCCAGGTTCACCATGGCGCCGGCGTCCATCAGGCCGTAACCGAATTTGTGGGAGACCTTCCGCTTCACCCCGTTCAAGATCCAGCCCGACTCCTTCTCGAGGGGGGTCGACCTCGAGGTGAGCACCACCAGGTACTGCATGTCCCTCCAGGTGAGGCTCGGGTTTGCCTCGAGGGCCAGGGCCGCGATACCGGCGGCGAGGGGCGCCGAGGCCGAGGTGCCCGTGTGCTCCACCGTGCAGATATGGTCAGGCCTGAGCTTCGCGTCCATGTCCACGGTGGCCACGCTTTTGTCGTTGCCAGGCGTCCCGGACGAGTACGTGGAGGCGAGGGTCGAGCTGCACTCCTCCAGGTACCACGGCTTGTAGCCGCCTTGGGTGGCGCTCGATATGGAAAGGGTGAAGATGCTGTTCGTGTAACCGTCGCAGTTGCAAGAGTCCGTGTGGCGGCCACCGTTGCCCGACGCCCACACGAAGATGGAACCCTTGCCTTTGCGCCCCTGTCCGTCGAATAATTAATTAATCGTGACACTGTTTCAGGAGTATTGGGTTACGAGAGATACCCTTGTCTTTGACAGCCGTGTGTTGGAACATCCATTTTTGTGACTCGCTCTTTTGGATTGGAAATTCTTAAGGTTGCGTATTGGTATATTGGCGAACGATTGATTTTCAACGAGTTATAATGATATATGCGTTATGTGTTTATTGTATTGTAGGGCAGATGTGATGATATGTTGGAACGAGGTGAGTTATTATATGCTAAATAAATTATAACAATAAGTTTGAAGGAAACGCAACTTACGCTAGTTACACCGTAGATAAACGCCCTCCTGGCAAGAGGCCCAGGACCGTCGACCGTCTTGCCATCGTCCTCCGGGCCCCAAGAAGCGCTGTATATGTCGATGTGGTCAGGATTCAATCCCAACGCCCTGGCTTCGACGGCGTCGTTAACCGGGCCATCGAGCATTCGAACGCCTGAAGATATTAAAATTACTTTTTAGTCTACGAAATTCTACGCTTTCGAGTCTTTGGAGCTAATTTCATAAAAGTGGAATCCTAACTGATGGTCAGAGAAAGATGTTGGTTTAATACGTATATCTATGTTCACTGAAAAATAGTACTCCTCCACGTAACGTAAATTTACTTTTAATAATTCTCACTCCATTCATTTTTAATCTCGTAATACGTTACAAAACTCCATTCGGCCATGATTACACTTTTCTTATCCTTCATCTTTCTCTTACGTTACGTCGCTCCTTGTTCAACTTGGCCTTACACATTGAACTCGATGAGAGGGAAACGCGGCCACTTCGATGCTGTTATACGTTATTTCGAGCGCGTTAAATCGAGCACGGGCTGTTGACACGCATTTTAATGGAAACGAGCCGATAATATTATCGAAACTCGATATTCCAGCGAAAACGACTTATAAACTGGCGGCTCGATACGCGGAATGAGTGACACTCGGGTAATTGTCATTGGGAAACGGGAGGAAATTGAACGTAGAATGCACGAAACGGTGGTAAGAATGTTCGCAACAGGCGATGAGATTGTTTAGACGCGATTAAACGCCTGTGAATGAAATTACAGGGAATGAAAGTTACTCGATATCGGGGAAAAAGAGGTTTTATATTAAAATTTTGTTACGTTTGATTGCGTTTTCTTTTTTTTTTTTTTGTTAATTTAGAGAGTCGTAAATGAACACTTGAGAAATTGAAATCAGAAATCTTTCTCGATATATAGGGATCATTGATGATAACTGTTTTAATTACTTTTTTTATATGATGTTTTGTGTTTGATTATAGAACGATTATTATTCATCATGTATTTAAAAATTATTTTTCAAAAATACTAAAAGATTAATTGAAAAGTACAAGAACATATTTTCTCTTTTTAATAATGATTAATTTCTGTCAAGAATAATAAAAACTTATAGAAAGGTAATAAGTAACAATAGTTTTTCTACGTCAATAACTTAAAAAAAAAATGCAAATTTTTGTTATTATTACAACAAATGAGCAATATATTCCAAACAATTATAAAAACAATTCAAACTCTTTTACCTCCTATACTGGCATTGTACGCGACTCCAACGCCGCAATACTGGTTGAAAGCAACGGCAGCGACCTCACCGGCGCAGCGAGTTCCGTGCTTGTTGTCGCCATTATCCCTTGGCATCGGGTCATTGTCATTGTCGTTGATGTCTGTGCTGGCTTGGTGATCGTAATTCAACGCCAAATCCGGATGATTCGTCTGTATTCCGTCGTCGAGGATCGAGACGACGACACTTTTACCGGTGTAACCTTTCTGCCACGCCGGGCCAAGATTCATGTCGTAGCCATCTTTGGCTCCACCATTCTGCAATCACGTTGTTCCTTGATTTTAACGGTGAGTTTTCATAACCCTTCGTATTCGTATTTCACCCAATGTGAAGAAAATTACGTTAGAAACAAAATTTTCATACGATTTCGAAAAAAAATGAAACATTTTGAAATTTTTTCTTAAAAGCAATATTCGATTCAACGATCGACACCGATCCAATCAAGATACATCTCGCGAATAAAACTCTCGAGAATTATTTTGCGCGAATAATTGCCACTTTCGATATGTGATGAGAAATAAAAACCAATTCTCCAGTGTTTTATTCTCGAATGTATTTCTAATGTGTTTAGAATAAAAAAATAAGAAACCTAGAAAATTAGTCGCGAGCAAAATGAATTTCGACTCGAAATTTGAAACGAAAGTCGAACGACGAGAGATACGCGTGTTCCACCTTGCGGCGAAACAAATGAATTGCAATTCGGTAATAACACATTTTGTCAGAGATGAAATATCACGTTTGCAATACTTGAAATTAATTAACTCGACTAATGGCCGTGCATAAATATCACGCGCCCAGTTCTTTCGTGTATCGAAACGCCAGTAATAACGGTAAATCATGTTCCGTACACGTCAGGTAGGAATAGAATTTATAGTTACGCGCACGTCGGAACTTTTCCATATATAATTCTAATAAAATTTTTCTCCGTGTGACGAATGGCTGTCGAAACGGGGAAGGACAGGAGACGAGACACTTCATCAATAACGCATCTAGTTCGTCCTAAATTATTATACTATCTATCTATATATATATATATATATGTATATATGTATATATATATATATACATGTATATGTATATGTTTGATGAAAAATTGTTATCGATAAATGCTATCAAAGAAAGCACTCGATGCTACATTAGAGTAACATAGAATTTTATATAGACGAGCGCATATCGGAAATTTAAAAGTCATCTTCCTCCTTTTTTTTCCTCCTTTTTTAATACTTCCAAAAGATTCTTTCAAAATTTGTAATCTGCTCGTTGATTAAGATCAATCTATATATCGAAAAGGAAGAAAGTTAAAATTTAATAGACCGATATAATCTATTATTTCGAATTAATTTATAACTGATTTTATTAATTTTTCGTAATAAGAATATTATTTATTCCCTGAAAAGAAAAAACTGTAAATTTGTAAGGAATCAATAGACAGAGAGAGAGAGAGAGAGAGAGAAGAGAGAAAGAAGAAAAAAGACTGACAATCAAAGTCGAATCCAAGGTTTACTAGTTCGACGGTTAAACCCAGACACGGTTTGTTTGTATTTTCCGCAAATCGTTCAATCGAATCACGCTTATTTCACGGTCGAAAAATCGCGAATCTTATCGAGCGTGGAAGAAGAACCTTATCGTTCGTGAGAAATCCACCGAATTGGGGATAACGAATTCTCGTCCAATCCAAATATGTTTTCCAAATACGCAACTCTCTGTCTCCTCCAGTTCGTTATAAGCGACTGAAATTTTTAATTCACCTATTTCGTCGCGTTATGCCGGAGGAGGAGGAAAGTAATTTGCCCCCCTCTGTAAACAGAAACTGCGAGATTGCCCGGCGCGTGTAATAAACGGTGAAAATTTTCGTGCAGCACACTATCTCGATAAATAAAATCGCGCGGTTGTACATAACTGAAAATTAACGAAGAATGAATTTTTTTTTTCTTTCTCCGTTCCGCTTCTTCTTCTTTTTTTTTTTTTTTTTTTTTTTCGTTATAACGAAATGTAAATGTTTTAACTAGGAATCGCGTCGATTCGGGGTGAACACGAGAAAATGGAAAATTCGATACGGATTGTTCCGCGAAAAAGAAAAAAAAAAAAAAGGGAATTTGAACTGTTAACTAGTTAAACATAGAGATAATTGAATGAGGCGAGGCAGAACAAGAAAAATGGAAGCGTTTTTCAGGTATAGAATATTCAACGAGAAATTTATGGAAACTGTGAACCGCGAATTAACTGGGCGGAAAATAAAAGATTATAAATTATAAGAAACTTTAAGAGAAGAAATTTATTCCTTTTTTTCTCAATAATATACTTAATAACAATTTTCATTTCGATCGAAAATGTATTTCAAATAACGACTCGTGGGTACGGTCCAAGAAACGAACGATATTTTTCAAAGTTTTTTTCCCCGAAAAAAGGTTCGATCGAGGATTCGATCGATATCATCGTTACTTGCGAGATGTTGCGAAATATTCAAATCACAAATGGTCTCGGTCTCGCGATCTTATAATTAGTTTTCGAGGTATTTCAAATCCAAAGCAACGCCATTACGCCGATATTCCCTTGGTGTGCTCCCTCGATCCGTTGTCGATACCGAGGGGAGAAATTTGAGCGCGGGCAAAGGGCCTGCTTTCTCATGCGATGCTGTTCATAATTCTCTTCACGTCGCCCGAAACGATCGTTTTCGGTATAGTTAGCGGCGATTGCTGGCCCCCGTCGTTTCTGAAATTAACGACAGGAATTCGATAACACACCGATCGTCGCGATCACCAACACCTTTTACGCCTTGTTCCATTTCCTTTTGTTTCTTTTTTCGAAAAATCTCGCTTCGATAATTTTTTTCGACGTTTCGAGAAAAGTGTTTGAATTAAAGTTAAAAGAGGAGAAGAGAAGTTCGTTGCGATTTGAAGGAAAGTTTTTAAAAGAATTATTCGATCGTTCGATACATCGATTGTTAATCGAATCGATCGATGGAATGTGTATATATATATATATATATATATATATATATTCTATTTAG